AGCTTTAAGTTGTCTGATTAGAGGCTCTAAACATAGTATAAAAATAAGAGGTAATAGGGGGCAGCCTTATTGCAGAGGATAGGAAGCCAGTATTGAAGCTTTTAATTAGAAAGTAATTGTGACTATATATAGTCTTATATATATATAGACTATATGACTATAATTATGTTTACTGCAAATAACTTTTGTTGGGGTGTTTTTTTTGTTTTGTTACATGTGTATATGTGTAATACAGGGCAGGACTGGGCTGTGACAATAAAACAGCATTGTAAAGGCAAAGGAGATGCAGGGGGGTTTATTATGGCAATACTAATGACAAACACCCGCCCTGGTCCCAAAATGAATAGGTTTTTCCTGCTTCCCCTGCAGGGAATCCCATGCACAGAGCCTTGCTGAAGTGCTCTCAGATGGGGAAATGCCCTATGTTTCTTTCACATGGCACAAGAGACTTTTAATGGCAACTTGCACTGCCTTTGCTGGTGACCTGTTGATGGTGTCCCAATGGTATACCAGAGGAAAAAAATAAAACAGGGTTGGTAAAGGGTGTACTGCATTTGTGGGAAGGCTGCCTGTGGTGTTTTATGTGCTTGTAAGCTGCTTATGGAATTGTGTGTGTTTGTAGAGGGGGCTGTTTGTGTTGTAGTGTATGTAAAGGAATGTTTGTTGTCTGTTATGTGTGTCTAGGGGCTGTATAGTGTATGCATTTGTGTGTTCAAGCAGAGGAACTATAGAGATTGTGTGAGTGACTATTAGATGTAGATTGTGTATGTGTGTGCCTGTCTAGGGATTGTAGTGAGTGTGTGTGCATATAGGGGCTACAGTGTGTGTGTGTGTGTGTGTGTGTGTGTATTTGTGTGTGCATCTAGAACATGTATTGTGTGTGCATGCATATAGGGGATGTAGTGTTTCTGTATAGAGGGTATAATATACATGTTTGTGTATAGAGAGTGTAGAGTGTTTGTATGTTTAAAGGTTTGAAGTGTGTAAAGGGGTTGTAGTATGTATGTAAAGAGTATAGTATAGTGTAGTGTAGGTATAGGGGTGCAGTATATGTGTAAAGGCGTTCCCTATTTTGTATGTAGTGTAATGTGTGCATAGAGGGCATATTGTGTGTATAGGGTGTACCTCAACACGCAGGAAAGAGGAAACCCGCAAAAGGTGTATCCAAAAGGCATATTACCGAGCCTTAGAATGGCCGGACTTAACATATTAATACAACAAGAAACAGGGCAAGATAAAGCAAGGACAGGAATAACAGAAATACTCAGAGTTAAGATGGGGTTAGGATACCAGAAATCACAAGTCAAATACTAAGCTGGAGTCAGGATACCAGAAATCACGAGTCAAATAGGAAGCCGAGGTCAAACACAGGAAATCACAAGGGAATCACCAGGAGCGCGATTTATGTTCAGATTGGTTTAATATTAAAAATGGGATGAGACAGGGGTGCCCTCTCTCACCTTTATTATATATCTTGTCAATTGAACCACTAGCAAATAATATTAGACAAAATCCTGGGATTAAAGGTATTGGAACTCAATCTGATGAATGGAAGATATGTCTATATGCTGATGATATTTTAATTTCTATTGCTGACCCTCTGGTTTCTCTCCCGTACTTAATGCAAGAATTTAATAAATATAGTAGTGTTTCAAATTATAAATTGAATACGAATAAAACAATAGCCATGTCGATTAATATTCATAAAGACAATCTATTATCCCTAAAGAGAGATTTTGATTTTAAATGGACAAAAAAAGAGTTTATATATTTGGGGGTAACTATAACGGCAGAGATAAGTCGAATTATGGAAACCAATTTCTTGAAGTTGTTAAAAGAGACTAATATGTTGTTAAAGGAATGTAGAGTGCATGAAATTTCCTGGTGGGGAAGGATAAATACCATTAAAGCTTATATAATACCTAAATGGGCTTATTTATTTAGTATGCTCCCTCTCTCGATTTCGAGTTATTGGCTGAATATGTTGCAATCTAGTATTACAGCGTATGTCTGGAGAGGGAAGAGACCAAGAATTAGTACCTACCATCTTTCAAGGAAGGCCTTCCAGGGGGGGTTGGGTTACCCCCCTGTTAATCAAATTTATCAGGCTAATATATTAGTTCATGCCAGTAAATTACAATTAACCGACTCTATAGACCAAGCCTGGTATAAAATCGAAGCAGCCAGACTTGGTTTAGATAACCTTGAATTTCTCTTATGGAGAGAGGCAAGTCAGAACAGGCATCTGTGTGAAATGGGTTCTCACTGTCCCTCGACCTTATTACAGACATTAAAAGAATGGACGTCTATAAAGAAGAAGTTGAATATTAACAGAAAAATATATGAGAATTTGAGTCTGAGGTCGTTGGAAAGTTTCATGCTAGAGATAAACCTGTCAAATTGGTATAAAGATTTTAACTATAAGATAAAAGACCTCTATAAGGACCATCAACTAAAAAGTTTTGATGTTTTGAAAAATTGGCTAGATTTACCCTCCAGAGACCTATTTAACTTCCTTCGTATTAAGAGCTATCTGAAAGATAATATATTGGTTTTAGAAGGCCGACTTGGAATAATGTTCAGGAAACTTTTTTCGGGGGATCCTGTCAAAAGGGTTTTCTCTATTGCAGTCGAATTAATAAAGATGATAGGGACTCCACTCATCCCTAAAGCTTTAACTAAATGGGAAACCGAGTTAGCAATTTCTATTCCTTTTAATAACTGGTGTAAATCCTTTGTGAGGACCAAAAAAATTATTCATTGTTTGAATATTTTAGAGACCTTTATAAAGGTGCTGTATAGATGGTATTTGGTTCCTATTAGACTTGCTAAAATTTCTATTACTAACCCGTCTAATTATTGGCGATGTTTTCATCTTGATGGCTCAATGGTTCATATATGGTGGTCATCCAATCGAATCAAATCTCTCTGGATGATTACATATGAATTTATAAATAGATTGGGAGGTTCCTATTTGGAATTCAAACCGGAAATCGCTCTACTCCATCTTTTGGGCTCAGAATTAAAGGATAATTTTGATATTGTGATCATACATTGCTTAATGGCTGCTAAAATATTAATTGCTAGATTTTGGAAAAGTTCTGATATTCCCACGAGAGATCAAGTTAAAGCACAACTTCTATTCCAAGTTGAGATGGAAAAGGGATTAATATCTATGAGAGAATATTCTAATTTGAAGGCTTTGACGTTTTATTCTAGTCTTGTCCAAAAAATTAAGAGGCTTTAAGGTAAATGATTTAGTGGGGTACCTGTACGACTACCTTGTGGTGGGTATGGTGTTCTCAGTGGGGGTTCTATCATTTGACGCCTTTGCCTTATTTTGCTATCTCTTTTCCTTAAAAGGTGGTTTTAGATCTGCAACACATACGACCAGTTTTGTCTTATGTCTTTGTTTCTTTTCTTGTTTTATACATCTATAAGGTTTTGTACAGGCCGTTTTTGGACTACGATATGCAACTGAGGGGATATAGGTGTTCCCAGATTATGTCCTAGACGGCTTATGGATGAAATTTGAGATAGAAAATTGTTTTTTTTTATGTTTGTTTAATAGGGAGGAATCCTTATTTTCTTTTCTGTAAGATTCCCTCCCTTGGATGTTGTCTTTGTCTATTAATATTTTCATGGAAAATTGTAATAAAAAGAATTAAAAAAAAAAAAAAACAGAGTTAAGATGGGGTTAGGATACCAGAAATCACATGTCAAATCCTAAGCTGGAGTCAGGATACCAGAAATCACGAGTCAAATAGGAAGCCGAGGTCAAACACAGGAAATCACAAGGGAATCACCAGGAGCACTAAATGAGGATCCAAACAGAAACCACAATAGGGCAAAGAATGGAGGCTAAAATAAGCCTTAAATAGGCTCAAAAGAGTTCCCATTGGTCCACATCATATCTGCCAGCCCAAACAGCATTGGGTTGCCTAGATGACGTGGTCCCTTTAAGGTAATGACGTAATGGTTTTACCTTTTTCTTTTAGGGGTTGCAGTTCTTCCCACAAACCAGCAGAGGGAGCCGTTCGTGAGACCGAAGGTAAGCGTTATATTCATTCTGCGCGGCCAAGTGGAGCATTCGGGCCATGCTGCCCAAGGACTGAGGCAATACAGCCACGCGCATGTTCTGCCAATGGGGCCGGAGGAGAGGAGCAGCGCGGGCAAAGGTAAGTTTGTGACATGGAGATAGATACACACAGTCTGCATCTAGCAGAGATGTAGATAAGAGGCTGCCAGGATCCTTTCCCCCTGGCATTAGAGTTTGCTGGGCTTGTGAGGGAGATATTTTATCTCCCCATCAAAACAATAATGGTCAGAAAGCCCTCTGTGATCTGTTGCTGATCCTTTGAGCTCCCTTGTTGGCCTTTGCCCATGACCACTGCAGTCCACCCGGCATTTCCTCGAACAGAGTAATACAAGGTGATTATTTATTGATTGTAGCCCATGGTTTGCTATGTATCTTTTGTGTTTGGCTTTTTAATAGATTATATATATTTTTCACTTAATGCCTCCAAACATCTTGTACAGTTGGAAACAACAGAACTGCCAAGTACAGATAAACAGCTTTATAGGTAAATTTAATAAGTCAAAAGTGTCACAAGTGCCTGGTCCACATTATGCATCTTTGTGTCTTACTATGTAGAGAAGAAGATTAGAAATGATGCCAGAAAATGAATCCAATCCAAATGAATTCAGTGTACAAGGTATTGCAGACTCACCACATCTTCGAATACCTCTTTTTACAGCAATTTTATCAGCATACCTCATCATTATCTTAAGTAATCTGATCATATTTGCCTCTATAATTCTGGACTCTCATTTACACACACCCATGTACATCTTCTTGTGTAACCTATCGGTCATTGATATTTCATACACCTCGACCATTCTACCCAATCTGTTGTCCAAGCTCATCACTCAGTGTAAGACCATATCCTTTCTAGAGTGCTTTATTCAGCTGTATTTTTTCATGTGCTTTGCTTGTACAGAGATCTTACTACTGGCTGCCATGGCTTATGATCGCTATGTAGCAATCTGTCACCCTCTTCATTACTCAATACTTATGAGTCCAAAGCACTGTGCTCGACTAGTACTTGCAGTGTGGGTCATGGGTTTACTCGATCCTGTTGCACATACTGTTTTAATTGCTCATTTTTCATATTGTCGTTCTCACCAAATTGACCACTTTTTCTGTGATTTAACCCCATTGCTTAAACTTACCTGTAGTGATACATTTATTATTGAGATATGTACCTACATTGATGGGACTCTCTTTACTGCCAGTGCATTTATACTTACATTGATATCTTATGTGTTTATTATTTCTACTATCCTAAACATACAATCAGCAAGTGGTCGACATAAAGCTTTTTCTACCTGCAGCTCTCACATAACTTGTGTTATCATATTTTATGGAACAATTATCAGTATGTATATGAGACCAACATCTATGTATTCTCCAAGACAGGACAAGTTTTTTGCCCTTATATATAGTATACTTATTCCAATGCTTAATCCTCTTCTTTACACCCTGAAGAATAAAGACTTTAACAATATTTTAAAAAGATTAATAAAACATTGTTTTCTACTGAGCTATATAGTAAAGTAGTCATATGATCCATACCTGCATACCTAACATTAAGTTCAATGAAAAAAAGAATCAGGTGTCAGAAAGTCAAAATATGATAAATCAAAAATATTTAATCATGGTTTGCAAAGTAAAAAGTAGTAACATTCAAAATGCTTTCTATTTTTGAACGCATAATATGTGCACCTGAAGGACACTTATAGAGCCTGCAGTCTTGAAAGAATACCTGTCATATAAACAGCCTTGTGAAGTTTTATAGCTTCCATTTTTCTTCAAAAATTGCTACATTTTGCCTATACAAGCATACAGTTTTAAACCTAAAATAATAAATATGTATATTAGTTTAAATATATGTTCTTGATGTGAAAATAAAAATCAAAAATATCAGTTAAGCTGCTGTACAGCTTTGTGTCTTCCCTAACAACAGTTCATCAAAAGAAAATGTATTGCACTGAAAAACACACCTGAATAACAAAGTGGTTAAATATAAAGTACTTAAATATAAATATAATGCAAACCTTTCATATCTCAATAAATATAATGCAAACATTTCATGTTCTCAATAAATTACAGTGTGTTCACAACTCAGGTAATACATATATAGAATAAAGTTAACAAAACAAACAAACAAACATTTTTGTACAATATAAAATACAACTGAATCCCATTCACTTGTAAGTGCTTGTGACTCTCGAACATTACCTCCAAAGTGCTATTGCATAAAACAAACAAAACAAAGTGCTTTAGAATATTAAGCAACAATGCAATTTCTACCTCCGTTGCAACCTCAAAAACAACATATATATATATATATATAAAAATTATATAGGAAATAAGGCTTGCACTCACGGTCTGTAGTAATGATAAAATATTTCTTCTTTATTAGAATATTCTTAAAACATGTCTGTTATCATCGACGTTTCAGCCATCGTTCGTGGCTTTCATCAGGATCAGTTCAGTACATTTGTACTGAACTGATCCTGATGAAAGCCACGAACGATGGCTGAAACGTCGATGATAACAGACATGTTTTAAGAATATTCTAATAAAGAAGAAATATTTTATCATTACTACAGACCGTGAGTGCAAGCCTTATTTCCTATATAATTTTTGTAATTTTTGGCTATGGCTTTTTTATGCACCCGGCATTTTCTAATACTTTAAAGTGTGTGTGCAGGGTACCACTGGATGATATATATATATATATATATATATATATATATGTATATATATATATATATATATGTACAAATTGTAGTTTTCTGGCACTCTTCCCTCTTCCACACAGCCTACTGAAATACAAGGGTGCTTACCAGCGCAAATAATGTATTCAAAAATAAAGAGAGCACTCAATGGTTTTGTAAAGTGAAAAAATATGTATTCACAATCGCATATAAAAGATCAACGTTTCGTCCGACAACCGGCCTTTATCAAGATGCTAAACAGTTTACAATGTGTAGTATTTATAACAAATATCAAAGAATTAATTAGACTTACCCCAAACCTGGTGAAACAACAGTGCCCAGTGCTGTGCGCCGTCTGCCAGTACAACAAACGGAACACCCCTACGTGCGTGATGACATAGTCCCTTACTGACGTGTTTAGCCAGATCCAGTTGCTATGGTGACAGAAACCTGTCAACCATAAGGTGAAATGTGAAGAGTGCAAAGGAATTAAAACCATATGCAAGGAAAATAATATAAGAAATAACAATCAAAAGAAAAGAACATGTTTCTATGCCTGTATGTGTAAGAGTGATAAGAACTAGAAGAAGTGTCAGAAGTTAAATATTAATTAGATGAAAAATATGTAAATAGATCAAAGATGTGAAAGTGTCTGTGTGTGAAAGAAAAGTGAAAAGTGTCAGACATACTAAGCAGTGCTAAGAGTACAGTGGGACCTCGGTTTATGAATTTAATGCATTCTCCGGGACGTTTCTTATTGCGAAAATTTTTTAAACCGAAACTTAGTTTTCCATAGGAATGCACTGAAAACCAATTAATCTGTTCGGGAGGTCAGGAAAAAGTCAAAATGAGCTGGCATGGAAACAAACCTACAATGCAGAACACACAATAAAAGGCATGCAAATGACGAAGCTCAGCTCCCTACCTTTCCACAGCTTGAGAAATGCACCAAAAAGTCCCAAAACAAGTGCAAACAATTTCCAGAATGGCTTCAAAACTTGATGCAAAAAGCGCTCCAACACCTCCACACTTGACGACACGTGTTGCTCACAGGCTTTGGCATGCAGGGGGCGGTGCTATAAACCTCCCAGGTGCCATGCATCCTGGGGAAACTTGCTTTGTATTGTGAAAAAAGAATTATAAACCAAGGCATTATTTTCAATGGATTTTCATTTGTAAACCGAAAAGTCAACAGAGTCATTTGTAAACGGAGGTCCCACTGTATATGAAAATAAAACTAACTAAACAATGCCACAGTTATATAAGTGAAAAGGTGAAAATGTGTGTGAATAGTGTTGGTGCAAATGAAGAGAAAAGAGTGAAGAAAAGCAAACAAAGGAAGAGAGAATGTCTCTACACATACCAGTGTATAAGAGACAATACGTAATTTAACAAATACATAACAAAAAACATATAATTCAGGTCATAATATTAAAATTTTTTTTATATTTGTAAACATTTTTGAATGGTTTTAAGGTACTATAGAATCATGCTGGTGCTATATATTAAAACGACAAGAATGTGTATATATATATATATATATATATATATATATATATATATATTTCCTGGCTAATCATGGCAGCATATACAAATGAGTTAGCACCTCCCCTTACAGCCGATAGGACAGTAAAAACACCAATGGCTTTAACCCCTTCAGGACCGGACTGTTTTGGCGATGTTGTACATTATGGACCAGAGCTGTTTTAACACTGTTGTGGTGTTTGTGTTTAGCTGTAATTTTCCTCTCTCTCATTTACTGTTTCCACACAACTCATATATTTTTTTTTTCAGACCAAGAAGGAATTTCTTTACATACCATTATTTGTATCATGTCATATAATTTACTTTTTTTTTAGAAATGATAAAATATGGTGAAAAATTAAAAAAACATGTTTTTTGACTTTACTTGAAAATTATTTTATTTATCTACAAAAGCTAATGAAAAAAATTCTAAATAGATTCAAAATGTTGTCCTGAGTTTAAAAACAGTGTTTACGTGCTTTTTTGCAAGTTATAGGGCTATTAGTAAAAATGTTAAATCCTAAACTAGCCCGGTGGGCTCTTTTTTTTAACTGTCACTTACCGTCCAGGTAATAAAAATTGCAAACCTAATGCTTTATTAAGAAAAATGAAGTTACTCCATTTCCCAATTCTGATGCTATTTTACACTCTGATACCATAATTGGTTTAATGACTCCTTTATCTCAGGAAATTGTGACTTCCTATTATCCCAACAATCCTTCCCCTGATCTTCAATTAACCAAGAAAGATGGGTTATGGTACAAAGGTAATCTTTTATATGTATGTCTCCCCTTAAGAAGAAAAATAATGTCTTATATTCATGACAAACTTCTTTATGGTCATCCAGGGATCAATAAAACAATAAAATGGTGTAAACAATACTTCTGGTGGCCCAAATCCAACAAAAGTATTGAAAATTATGTAAAAACTTGTGAAGAGTGTCAAAGGAAGAAAAGAACTTCCACTCCTCCCTTTGGCCTATTACAACCTCTCCCAACTCCTCTTCATCCATGGTCTTCCGTAAGTATGGATTTTATTGTTGACCTCCCTTTGTCGGAGGGTAATACTTATATTCTTTCTATTGTATTCCGTCTCACAAAGATGGTTAATTTCATTCCCCCTCCTTCTGTTCCCTCTGCATCTTCACTTGCTAAAATCTTCATAAAGGAATATGTCTGTCTTCACGGAATTCCTGGTGAGATTATTACAGATAGGGGAGTTCAATTTACTTCTCTCTTCTGGAGAGAATTTACAAAAAATCTACAAATAGAACATAAATTATCCACTGCTTTTCCTCCCCAAACAAATGGGAAAAGTGAGATAATTTATGTTCTATTTGTAGATTTTTATCATGAAAATTTGGGATGATAGTTTAGAGTCTTTTTCATTCCACACGATAGGAATTATAATTGAGCAGATGGGTCAGACTCTGCATCAATTAGAGGAAAAAATCAAAGACATCTAAATTAAATTAGAACCATTTGTACAAATGGATGAATTTGAGAGTATTAACAAAATAATGATTGAGAAAATTAGTAAGCTGGAAAAAAAGATCATTGAATCTAAAAGAAAGAAATTTAAACGTGATTTAGACGACTACGCTCAAGGTAGAATTAGAAACTTTGGGACGGTAGATCAAAATAAAATAAAAAATAATTCCCCTAAAATAAAACAGATAAGTAATAGGGAAAACTATAAAAAGGAGAATACAATGAGAATGAGACAAAAAAGAGACGTTCCATACCATTACAAAACAAGAGAAGAAGAAATAAATAGAAGAGAATACTCCAGGAATATAATTCCATCTAGAAGGGAAGAAGAATGGATTAGAATTACACAGAGGAAGAATAAATATCCCAGTAAAAGAGAACTTAGTAGATATTCCCCACAAAGAACCACTACCTTTAACAGATTCGAGAAGCTGGGGGAACTTAGAGAAGAGAGTCAAGATCTTTTTTTAGGACCAGCATACATGAGAAAGACCAATACCCCACTAAAAGGAACAAGAGAGATAGAAGAGGGGGAAATAGAGGAAGTGGGAAAAAAGGAAAAGAGGAGAGAGAGTAAAGAGGAATTAAATGATAAACCCATCCCTATTTTTAACCTTGCCGAAAAAACTTTGACAGACACACATATGTCTGTATTGAGGAAGGGTTTTAAATTCTCACTGAGTTGTGAGGCAAATAAGTTTGACAGCTTTTTAGATTTGAACAGATTTTTACGTAAATTATGTTTAAAGATTTTTTTTAAGGATTTTACACCAAGAGAGGAAGAGATCGATAGTATTTATAAACATACACATAATCACATAATCAAAAGTCTGAAGCAATGAAAGTCTTTGAAAAACTGTGCCTAAAAGACTTGAAGAAATTAAAACCTCTGAATAAATATCAAAATAACTTATCTGCAAAGGAAATGTATGTGGTAATAAAACCTGCTGATAAAGGTGGGGGAGTAGTGATCTGGCAGAAAACTAAATATTTAGAAGAAATTCAGAATCAACTAAATGATAATTTTACTTATCTGAAATTAGATGAAAATCCTTTTAAAAAGATAAAAGAAGAATATGACAATTTTCTTAAAGAAGGACTGGAAATAGGAATTTTAATTAAAAAAGAATACAAGTTTTTAACAGTTGAATATCTGAAAATTCCAGTCATTTACGTATTGCCTAAAATACATAAAGATATCTCTAACCCACCAGGCAGGTCAATAGTACCTGGTATAGGATCGCTTTTATCTAATTTATCACAGTATATTGACAAATTTTTACAGAATCTAGTCAAACAGTGTCCAACTTACCTCAAAGACACAATAAACTTGCTTAACTTTTTAAACAATTTTAAATGGGAAAAAAATACATTATGGCCACATGTGATGTCAGCATCCTATACACGAATATAGCCCATGATAGCGGCTGTAGGGCTGCTAGACATTTTTTTAAAAAAATTTGTGATTTTAATGAGTCACAAGTAGATTTTATTTTAAAAGGAATTGAGATTATTTTAAAAACTAACTTTTTTTGGTATGAAAATCAATTTTATTTGCAGATCCAGGGAATGGCGATGGGGACCAGGTTTGCCCTTAGTTACTCTAATTTATTTATGTTGCACTGGGAGGAGTCATTTGCCCTGCCTAGTATGGACCTAGGTGCAAACTTGGTCCTCAACAAGCGTTATATACATGACATTTTTATTATATGGAAAGGCAATGAAAGTTCCCTGGTAGATTGTTTTAGACAACTTGAATTCCAATGATTGGAATATTAAACTCACCTGCAATATCAGTAACCAAAGTATTATAGAATATATTTTTATAGAATTAGACCAAATTAAAAGTAAAACCCATTTTAAGAAGGTGGATGTTAATAG